AAAAAAACCACCAAAAAAACCGACCCCCCCCCTGCCTGCTCTGTAATCCTCACAGCAAACGTAAACTGGGACCCATCCCTCCCCCCTCCCATTCGTGAACGACACAACCTAGCTCTTAGATCCGGGGTCTCTGTAGGGGACATAGATGGGTTGGTGCTACAGTATGTCTTACAGGAACAGAAAACAGCCGGCTGTGAGCGTCGATGTGCGGGGGTGGGGTGGGGCGGGGGGCTACTAAGTATTATCTATCTCCACAAGGAGGGGAGGGTATACTTTGTATTAACTACAGGGCGATCAAAAACAAACAAAAACTTTGCAACTTTTTTTCTGAATATCTTGCGCAAAATTGTTCTAGAATATTGTAATTTAGAACAGACATAATTCATTCAAAAGGAATTTGTGTGATATAAAATCCACGAAGAAAAAACATGTTTTGAAAACGGAAACGGCTAAAAGAAAAAAGCACCCAAAAACGCAAAATTCACCTATGTTTAAAAATCTTGTAAAGGAAGTCGTGAAAAGATTAGTTGCCTTTTTTCTTTATTTTCTCTTTGACATCAATTTTCCATCCCTGTGACATTTAAACAATTTCTAATTTATTTTGCAGAGTTTTAAAAACCTAATGATTTCATTCTGAGATTCCTAGAAGCAGTGCTCCACATTCCCTCCGTTGGACTCAACACGTTGTTAACGCGTCGTTCGAAATGTTCAGTGGCGCCCTAACACAAGGACCTGCTAAACCATGAGTTTTTACAGCCACATACACTGTATAAGTTCACTAAGAGTGGCTTCTAGACACAATAGAGTGGGGTGCCCAATAGACAGCATTTTTGGAGTTAACATATCCCGCTGGGTGAAAATGGGCTTGGCACTAAACCACATGTCATCGAGGAAATGATCCCTCTTTACAAGACAATCGAGGAATCATGAACACATTGCCATGCTCTGATCCATGTCATCTCGGCCTAGCGAAGATGAACATGGTAAAGTCGTAAGTTAAGATCTGCAATGAGAATACAGACTGTTGATGTGTTGGAAAGTCCTAACTGCAGATCGTCTACGGACAGACGTCTCCTGGGACTTGGCTACTGAAATCTGCACTGTGGTGACGTTTAAAGGGCTGTACATGGTGTGTGTTAGACCTGAAGTGATTTTTTAACGAACTTTTTAGTTCTGATTCGTTATAGATCCAAACTGACGGAACTTCTCTACTCATGACACCAAAGGTCTTGAGGGCACCTAAGCATTCTCTCCATGCCGTGCGCAGAACTTACGAAATGTTAGGGATGGTGAGTTTGTGGAGAGGTAATGTTCCATACAAAAAACTCTCTGCTTTTTACCAAACGTAGCCCTGATCTCAGCAGGCAAACAAAATTAGGGAAAATAATGTCTGCAGACTTCTGTTGACTTGTAAGACTGCTGTAGCTTGCAATATGGCGCGATTGTAGCAACTTTTGGTGGTAGGCCTAATGCGAACTGGTGCGGCATGCTATGAAAATGGCGACAAGGTTGAAAATGGGTTGTTTTTTAAAATGTGCTATATAGAGCAAAACCATTCAATGTACTTATCTAAAATACATATTAGAAACATAAACATTCCTTTTGGCTTCCAAAAGTTATGTTCAAATCTGAAAAGCAAAAACTTCAGTATGGAGGAAGATATTTACTAAACAAGTTGTAAAGTTGTTTTTTTGGATCACCCTGTATATCCATATTGGAGGGAGAGGGGTATACTTTGTATTAACTATATCCTTTTATTGGAGGGAGAGGGGTATACTTTGTATTAACTATATCCATATTGGAGGAAAAGGGGTATACTTTCTATTAACGATCTCCATATGGGAGTGAGGGGGGTATACTTTGTATTAACTATATCCATATTGGAGGAAAAGGGGTATACTTTCTATTAACGATCTCCATATGGGAGTGAGGGGGGTATACTTTGTATTAATCGCCTCCACATACCTCTTGGTCAAATGGAGCCATCTTGTTGCCTCCCCAGATATTGTTGCCAGAGAATCCTCCCTTCTGCCAGAACCCGCCAGATGGAGGATATACGGCCATGATTTGCTGGTCATCTATGAACGTTCTGCATGAGAAGACGGAAGACATAGAGGTTAATTAAATCTCAAACATATTGTCTTGAACTCTTTCAGCGACCTGGGTTTTTTAAAATCAAGAATCTAAGATACTGTATTCTTCTCAGCCCTGATAGGCAGGATCGAACACCCCTCCTTTCCCTACTAAAACAAGGTGTCGATGGACGTTTTTCCAGTCACAATATAAGAAAAAACCGCATAGACATCCCAATCACCACACCCGCTGACAAGAACGATAAGCAGATAGTGTAACCTTCTATCAGACCGCTCACGCTGGCAAGGCGTGTGGGGACAGTGATGTTGTTGTTGTGGTTAGGCTGTTGGGCTTGTAACCGAGAGGTCATGGATTCAAACCCTGTTAGGGGCTCAATGTTGTGTCTACAGGAAAGGCACTATACACAAACGTTCTTCACCTCAACCAGGTGAGAATGAGTACCCGGCTATAGACGGCGAAATATCATGGCTCTCAGGGTATTGTCGCTTAATCAGCTGTTTGGACTTAATGCTTGCCAGGAAGCTGAGAAGTTCTACGGTCTGCTGGGGTAATAGTAGCTGGAGGCTCCCATGGCTAAGTAATGAGTTCAGACTCAAAAAGAAAGTCAAATAAGTGTCGGGGATGGATGGTAACTGAGGTGTGTCCTTCAGCAAGACACGAAAATCCCTATCTGAAAAACCTTGGCGCTGCACAATGGGGATCAGCAATGGCACGCTTCAGAAATTGTTCTGTTTGGGTGAGATATTGGGAATTTAGGTATTAATTTTTA